GCTCTGTACGCCTGGCTTCTTAGTGGCGATGATTCAACCAGAAAGCCCAAGAACACCGAGACTACGTTCCCGCCCCCTCCCCAATCAGCACGCGGCAGCCACGGCACCCCGGCGCGCGGGTCGTGCGGCAGGCGCCGCCGACGTCACATACTTCAACCTGTGGCCATAACCAGCAAGATATACACCTGCTGGCTTTCATGAACACGTGCCCCTGCCAAGTCTTCCCTGACGACATCATCAACTTATGTTAATCGTCTCACGCTTAGGCTCAGATGACAGCTGCGCGGCCGGGCTATTGAGATTCCGTTGGCTGCTTGAGTCTTCCTCGCGCTTGAAAAGAGGGTATTTGGTGGGACACGCGGGCTGAGAACATCGATGGCTTTCTTCGCCTGCCCTGCCTCCCCACACACTAAGCAAAATCATTAGTTAGGTTGAAGTGCAGCTTGCTGATCTATCGCCTCCGTCAACTGAAGGGAGTGCGCCGGGCCACAACGTCTCTGGGGACTCGATACCCAGGCTTCAGCAGCAACTGTCACATGCGACAATACAAAGCCTTACGTGTGTGGCAGCTGGTCCTGTGTCTGTGCGGAGGTCGTTGCGCGATCGGCGTGCGGGAGCGCGTCACGGCCGACGCTTCACACACATCTACATGGAATCCTACTCTACTCACACCCATCCCTTATTTGAGGTCTCAACGCGAACTACGAGTCCAAGAGGTTACCCTTCAATGTAACTGTACCGTGCTCGAGCACCCATCAGAACAGACCAACACAAGCGACACAGGGATCACGAGGAAGGCCACGTCTCCAATGTCACAACACGCGCAGACACAAACCCACATTTCCACCCACACCGAAGAATCAAAATAAGAATTTAACAAAAGCGGGTACACAACAGTCTTCGAATCTACATTACTGTCGCGTTCCTTCTCGGGAGTTACAGCCAGCTCTAACTCTCACCTCCCAGTACGCCTACATTTACTATTCTTCACATACCTCTACGCGTTGGCTGGGTTGGCTTTTGGAATCTACTGGCCAGACACAGGCCAGTGTTCTGTAACAGTGCGTTTCCTGTTAGCCCTAAGCGGGTCCTCAGGATGGGGGAACCGGAGTGCCCCCATGGCGTATTTACTCAGCGCTCCGACACAAGTTAGTTCCATGCTGTGTCATAGGCAACTTATGAGAGGCGCGCTCATTGACGTCACTGCGGTTGACTTGGGATGTGGAGCTAGCAACTGAACACGGTCAGCAAATACAAGGTGTACATGGCTAGTTTTCAGTCTCGGCATGAGGTCGAGCACTATGATTCGCTTTACGGGTGCGCATGATCCGTACGTTTAAATGGTTAGCGAGGGTTTTCATAGAAACAGGACGCTCATTCTTGGCTCTTCGTGAGAAGACGTCTTGAGCCGCACCCACATCTATCTGCATGTTTTCCAATCTCAAGCGCGACAGTGTCGGTGTCAAGGGTTGCAGGTGGCGCCTCCACACTTGAACCGTCGCATAGCCATTTGGCTTTTGCGCGAGTGGAGGACCAATGCCACAACCGCAGATGAAGGAACCTAAGAACCATCAGATCTCGTCTGCGCTAGACGCGTACACCTAGAAATCATTGAATGTCTGAGAAGAACTGCAGGAATTGTACGAGACGACTAGCTTTAAAGGGTCCAATATTAGTAACGCGTGTGGGTACTGAAATACTAAAATATGTGAATAGATTCACATCATTGATTCGAATAACTCCATAAATTTCATTCAAATTCCATACGCCACAAACCTAATTTTGCTCTCACTAAAAATGTATCCGCATTCTCCTATGACAACGGCGCTATCGCCAGATACAGAGACACGAGTCGCTGGGATCAACTGTTTCACTGGTTTAAATGGGCTGAAGAGGAGAAATCTCCTGACAACCATTGTTTAAAAAACCCTTTAAAAAGCTAAATCACTCTCCAAAAAGTCAAAGGCACGTGAATGCTCCAGTGTGCTGGCTTGTAAAGTACTGTTGCGCGAGACGAGACAGTGTGTGCACCCGCTCGAACTTGGTCTCTGTTAAAAAAGGGAAAACAAAAACATACTGCCGGCAGTTCGATACCAAAGTTCGAGCAGCTGCAGCCAGCACGAACATGCCATTGCGCGCCCTCGACGCTGCACCGTAAGGCCGAGCTGACCTCCCTTTAACAATCTCTCTAACCAGCCGGCGAGGTCGAGGGCCCCGGCAGATACCTAACACCTCCGCCTGGTTACTCTGGTAACAAACACGGCCCGCAGTGAGACGAGCAGCCACAGGAATAACCGTTTCCGAGTAACTGAGGGCGCGGGGCGAGTGTACGCAGGAGGCCTGACCGCTTGCAAAAGAAGACTCAACATCTCTCCTCTCGAACCTGGATGCTGTGAGTGCTCAGGCCCTCCGCCCTAGTAAGTGCACACTTTCGCAAATTGTTCCAAGTCAACACCTACACTCATCACGGCTAGGCTAAAAATAGAAATCAATAAACTTTAGGGGAATTTAGGGGGGGGAGGGGGGGCAGCTAGTGGAGGGAGGGAAGTCAGTTGTAGCTTTCAGGATAAATAAAAATCCAAATGTGAAAGGGGAGCGGTATCCAGGCCAGGCTGGCGTTTCTCTTAACATACCAGTCGCACTCCCCGCTGTCCATCCTCCCATGACCACAAAAGGGGTTCAAACACTGCATGGTCCCAGCAGGCGCCACATAGGACGGGACAGGAAGTGATTCAGCTCCCACACATGTAAGGTGGCAGGGCTGCTGCTCGCACACCCATCCCCAGTTCCCCTGCTCCGGAGGTACCTCCCTCGGGGAAAAAAAGAAAAAGAGGATAATTATAGACTAGCCTGTAGTTTTGAGAGCCAGTCGCTGAGCTGCATCAGAGGAGGATCCCATTTCAGGGCTGCTGTCGAGCCTGCAATGGTGGTGAGGGACGACCCCGCCGGCCCGCCATGTGCTACTCCTTTTAAGGGAAGGGACAGCCAGTCAGCCTGTCACTCCGAGACTCCCAGCCAGCCGCACTCCCTCAGCGGGCCCGTGTCCACCCCGTGTCCACCCCGTGTCCTGTCACTCCGTCTCCCACAATAACCAGAGGACTGTGACATCTGGAGGTCACTGGTGAGGCTTTGGAAGTGACTTTTAAAAAAAAAAACAAAAAAACAAAAACCAGGGGAAAATAAACTCCTCAGACACACAGGAGCCCGTCTATCTGAGGCCTAAACTGTCTCACTACACATTTCCACTCAAAGCCGCTCATGACTGTAAAGTACAGGGCTGAGTAAACTGGAGAAAGGGGGAGGCGGGGAGCTCGCCCTACACTGAAATTCACAGTGGAAAGTAAAAATACACCTTTGTCCTTGCATTGTTTACAAATCACAGGCATTGCCGGCATATTAGGGAGAGCACAGAGGTCTGTGAGAGATATTTATGTCAAAATGAATTAAAACAAATACAACTCCACTCGCTTCCCCTTCATTTCTGATGTGCACAAAGTTATTAGTGTACCACCTATGTTCCTTACCCAGTGAGCTAAACCTTTTTAACACTGGTGCTCTGCGATTTTTTTTTGGCCATCACCTATACCCTTTCACAATAATACCATTTTGTTTTTTTCTGCCTTTTCACATTTTTCTTTTTTTTTTTTTTTAAATCACAGGAGAAAACCAAATATAGGGCTACAACATTTTCTTCTTCCATTTCTTCAAAAATAGCCCATGCTTAAATTATTGGAGGGTAAACCTGGAGGTTAAGGCACAAAACACAACTCCATTAAGAATAAGGTTGATAAACAGGGAAACAACCAAACATGATGAGAAAAAAAAAAATCTAAACACTTAAAAATATCACTTTCTATTCAATGACCTAGACAACTCTGTAGATAAGGAATGAGAAAGGATTCCAAAAAACAAAGCAAAACACTTGTCCACTTAAATATAATTGTGCCTTGAGAGGAACATAGCATTTATTGCCTCAATAATATATTTTTTTGGGGGAGTTTTTTTATTTATTTATTCCTTCTCTCTTTTCAAAAGCAGCAGCGGCGGCGGTGCCCTCTTGTGCATCCTTCCACTCGGTCGCTTTATCAGTTACATGGCAGCCATGTTGGAATGTTCTGGTTAGCCACATAGTAGTTGCTGAAGTTGTGGTCTCGGACGTACGGCGCAGGCTGATAGTAGCAGGTGACGCAGGATGCATCCGGGATAGCATTCTGCTCGGCCAGGACTCGGAAGGCCATCAGCGAGATGAGGTGGAGGGTCTGCCGCCGCTCGTGGCCCATGAGGCACACCGTGCTCTCGTTGACCACTCGCCGCAGGATCATGAGGTAGTCGTACTTGCTCTTCTCCTCGCCTATGAAGTGGCTCTGGAGGTAGGCCTCCACCTTGCGCTGCTGCTCACCGATGTCGGGGAAGTCGATGAAGAAGCGTGAACACATGTACCGCTCCAGGCCCTTGAACTCCTCCTCGCTGGCAGGACGAAAGTCCCGCACCAGCAGATTGCAGTATTTCAGCAGGCCGCCACCTCGGATCTCCTCGGGCCACTTGGTGGTGATGAGCTTGTTCCGCAGGTGGCTCAGTGCCATGTCGAAGTCCCCGTACATGCTCTCCCCACTCACCGTGGGGTGAAAGGCCTGTGACATGGGCGTCTGTGCCAGCTCGTAGTAGGCAAGCATGGAGTCCAGCACAATCTGAAAGGAGTCCACACTGAACTCAAACTGCCGCCGTATTGAGTCCACAAACTTCAGCTCCACATTGCGGCCGTTGTTGTTGGAGAGGGAGATGAGGCTCCAGCGGTCCTGCTCTGTGTTGACTTTCACCAGCTACTGGACATACGCCTCTTTGAGAGTCATGGGTGTAATTTTCTCTTTGTTCACACCCTCAGGTAGGAAGTCCAGCAGGGTACCCAGAACCACGTCCTTACTGAGGCGGAACTCTGCCTCGTGCGGCAGGTCCACCCTGAAGATGACGTCCAGATCCTTGTAGCTCCAGCCAATATCCTGCACCAGTACGTGGCTGGCCGTGGAGCCATTGAGCCTTATGTCCTTCACTCGGATGCCGCTCAGCTCCAGGCGGGAGCGGACGCGCGCCACAATGTCTTTCAGCCGCACCTCTAAGGTAGGGAAGTTCCCCCGTCCATGTACAGGCACGACCTCGGTCAGAACCTCATTCAGCCGGCTCACCTGCTCCCAGGTCAGGACGCTGACGGAACAACTCTTTGATTCCTCTTTGTTATCCATCTTCTCACAAAAGTTCAGATTAACTGAGATGGCAGGAGAGAAAGAAAGATGTTAGTTTTGGCTTTCAAATGTGACACAAACCAAACGAAACCTACAAAAATCACCATTTGAACAGCAACTAACTAAAGACAATACAAGCATACATTGGCTCAGCTGTAAGAATACAAGGACAAACAAATGTTAGATATTAGACCTACTGGCTCGCGAGTTTTAAAATATCTCATGTAACAGCATCATGACCCATTCAGCACGAGCAGAGCAGAATGAGAGCACGAGACAACCTGCTCGCTCTCCGACACAGAGAGACACACACACAGCCAGAGGACACCACACACGAGAGAGACCACCCACGAAGAGAAGACACACCACACAGAGGAGACACACACACCAGAGCAAGACACACACAACAGAGGAGACACACACACAGAGAAGACACACACAAGAAGCACACACACAGAGACACACACACAGAGACACACCACAGAGACACAGAGACACCACCAGAGACACAGAGACACACACACAGAGACACAGAACACAGACCACAGAGACACAACACAGAGACACACAGACACAGAGACACACAACAGAGAACACGAGACACCACACAGAACACACACACACAAGAGACCACCACACAGAGACACACACACACAGACACACACCACACAGAGACACACACACACAAGACACACAGACCACACACACCACAGACACACACAGACACAACACACACAGACAACCATTAGAGGACAGAGCCCGTGAGCTTTCTAGAACAGCTCGAGCCTGGCTTTTATTCCAGAACCGCTGAGAAACAAACACTAAACGAGCTCAAAGTACAACCAAAGCCGACGTTTCCCCTCAGAAACAACCGCATACGAAATTAACGCCAACAAAGCAAATTACCGTTACACACGTTTCGTGAAAAACATGACCGGTAATTATTTATTCCAGCTGACTTATCAATTCAGCTGTGACGATGATGTTGAGCTAACGTTAACTCGGCGCTAACTAACTAACATTGACCTGATTAAAGCAGTACCACACCGGGCTATAAAACTAACGCCAACGTGCCTTACCCTTACGCCAGGTAACGTTAGATAACGTTAAGTTGGACTCACTAAATCCATATGGCGACCAATCCCTCCGCAAATTCAGCAAAGTCACGTACCGTAAGTTTGGAGCGACCAAGAGAAAATGAGTCCACGTTTTACGCTAAAATATCCCAACTGAAGTCACGTTTTGGAATCATGGCTACGATAAACTTTAACTTAACGAGTGTAACTTGCGTTAACTTAACTACGGAGTTAAAACACAGTTTCCATTGACAGAGAGGAATGAAGGAGAAAAGCAGTACGTACATTTCCAAAAGCGTGCTCGGGAAGCATTCAAAGTCGGAGACAGTTGAGAAGATGTTAAATTGTAATTCGTGCAGACAGCTCCACATAATCCACCGCCTGAGAGACACACACACAACGCCACCGGTGAAAAGTTGATATTTGAACCATTCCCCTCGCTGAAGACACGCCTGTTTTATAAAGCCGAAGTACGACCCACCGACACAGACGCAGAGCCGTGGTACGACACAGTCCCTGTCTATGTAGCGTGGCTTTTATAATAAAAAACATACAATATTACTTGTATATAATGTTGTATATGTAAAGTAAAACACTAACTTTATATATTTACCCCAAAGTCCAACTTTCAACGTCAGCAGATCACATAGTTGTAGAATCGTCGAATGTGATTGTAGCAATGCGCCGAGCAGAGCGTCTGATTGGTCAACGAGGTTTTGGCGTTGCCAAGTAACCCGGACCGTCTCCAGGCGGACGGGCCGACGTTCTCTCACTGTTGCTGTGCCAGAGTGAAGTTCAAAAGCAGCACTATCTGCTCTGTGTTTATATTAACGCTAATCTGACACTGTGATTGATATCATTTTACTTTAAAATATGTTTTTAAATATATTCTACTCATAAGTGTGTTTCCCTATAAATTAATATTAAACTATGTTTTTTGACACAACCATTTTGAATTCGATTTTATTTCTATTTTTGGGTGTATTCTTAATATTGTCCATGTATTGTCTTCAGCAAAACATAAACAATTGGAACCTTTATTGGTCAATAGTTCATTTTGCAGTTTTCCAGTCTCTTTCCTGCAATGATTCTATATTGATCTGTCAGATGAGAAAGTTAATAGACAGTGTCAAATATAACTTACAACATCATCTCAGGCAACTGAACAAGTGTTTCCTTGCCTTACATGGCAAGGAAACACTTGTTCACACACACGCACACACACACACACACACATCAATACGTGAGTCAGTGAGGAAGAGAGTTGGGGGTTACAGGGAACTTTAAAATGTTCTTGTTATATTCTTCTCATAATTGTGTTGCCCCCAAATTGTACAAATATACTGTTTCTAAATAAAGATTTCTTTAAAAAAGTGAATACAAAAATTCAAGTTTACCAGCATTCCCTCACACGGTCAGCAAAGTGCTGTGGGCTGTGCAGATTAAAGCTAAATATTATCTATAGTAAACAGATCCATAACACTAAGTACACTCAGCAGTCAGTTTATTGTATTGAGACTACTTTGACTGATATCACATGAGGGCAAAATATTTGAAACACCTTTTGACAGTTTGAGAGCACCACAAACTACATTTTCAAAATTGATCCCAAAGTTAACACGTCTTTAAAACAGTTTCAACCAAAACCTAACACAACCTGTACAGACAGCATTAGTTCTCACAAGCAACCAAATATCCCCACTGGGAATCTGCTGATGGTCTTGACAGGCCTTTCTACTGCACAGGAAACATTGCAGGCATGTGCTCGGGGTGAATGCTATCGACTTAGCAGGGGGAATCCTCCCTAACATTTCTACGGAAGAAAGTTAATTTCTTTAGAACACATGAAAACTTTCCTCTGTAAATCTCTTGCAGTTGTGCAAGCACACACACACACACACACACACACACATACATACATATAGTCTGACGAACAGCACAGCTGCATTGTCAACCCCCAGTGACACTCTCTGGAAATACGTTCTTCCCTCACTAAGTCAGAGGCAATTATTAATACAAGGAAACCACAAAAGATATGAAAGAGTGATGATTCTTTGGAAAGTAAAAGACAGGCTTACACCAGTGAACACTGCTATTGCTTCAACAATAAGAGCCTGTTGCCTTGTAAAGGGAAACAGAACATTTGATGATTAACAACAGTTAAAGGTCCAGTGTGNNTTGGCAGAAATTGAATATAATACTCATAACAATGTTTTCATTAGTGTATAATCACCTGAAAATAACAACTGTTGTGTATTTTCGAAACCTAAGAATGAGTGATTTTTATCTGCAGCCATATTGAACCGTCATGTTTCTACAGTAGCACAGAACACACAAACCAAGCACTGGCAATAGATAGGGTCTTTCATGTTTTTCACAAGGTTTTTCCACCGTAGTTTCTACTACACACTTGAGGTGTGAGCGGCATTCAAAAAGTTGCAATCTGCAACTTCACTGCTAAATGCCACCGAGTCGTACACACTTAAAGTTAACATACAAAACAAAGCAGGTTATTGAAGAATTAAAGCACAACCAATGGAGTAGAAATAACAGGCAATGTGCTGTTCTCACAGGGAAAACTGTGGCTTTACTTCTAAAAACCACCACATTTGGCCCTGATGGCAGCTAGTAGTGGGTATATTGATAAAATCATCCGTATCAGTATGTGTAAATTTGATATCATATTGCCATAGCACTATTTGTAGAAGCTACAGTCAGGTCCAAATGAAAAAATCACATAAAATAAAATCATTATCCTTAAAATAATCATTAATCAATTATTATATAGATGCAAGGTGTATTCATATTATTTGTCAAACTACAATTTTATCATTTTAAATTCACACCTTATTAAAATGTTGAATTGTGCATCAGACGTTGACGTATGTTTGTTATGTTCTACAGTCACGTTGTCACTATGCCAATATAAGTGGGCGCCCGGTTAGCTCAGTCGGTAGAGCTGGCGACCCATGTACGGAGTAGCTGCAGCGGCCCAGGGTCTGCATCCAACCTGCGGCCCTTTGCTGCGTGTCATCCTCTCTCTCTACCCAACTTTCCTGTCTCTCTACAGCTGTCCTATCCAGTAAAGCCATGAAAAGGCCAAAAAATAAATAAATAAATATATATATATAAGCTGCTGGAGTGTATCACTTTTTTACTTGTTTTCCAAATATGCCCCCCACTCAAGGACTGTCTGGTCCCGATTTACATTTTCCTAGATCCACTCCTCCAATCACATGACTAGTGATGGATAAGTCATGTCAATGAAAAAAACTTCTGTCGGATGCACATCTGTCCTCTACTAATCTATTCTGCAAGTGTCTATCATTGGACTTCATCATCTTTCATATAAAACAAAACTATAAATTAAGGTCGGATTCAAACCCGGGCCACTGCAGCAACTCCGTACATGGGTCGCCATCTGTACCGACTGAGCTAACTGGGCGCCCTGACATAACAACATTAGATTTTATTTCTATTTTTGGGTGTATTCTTAATATTGTCCATGTATTGTCTTCAGCAAAACATAAACGATTGGAACTTTTATTGGTCAATAGTTCATTTTGCAGTTTTCCAGTCTCTTTCCTGCAATGATTCTATATTGATCTTTCAGATGAGACAGTTAATAGACAGTGTCAAATATAACTTACATCAGCTCAGGCAACTGAACAAGTAGGGTAGTGTGTTTCCTTGCCAAGTAAGGCAAGGAAACACGCACACATGTCAATAAGTGAGTCAGTGAGAAAGAGTGTTACGGGGAACAGACGTAACAGATGCAGTTTCTTGCAAAAGAGCTTCTTCCTTTTCTCTGCGACATTAGTGGTGGGAGAAAGAGTGAGCTGAAACCACTGATCGACAGTGTGGAGTTTAAACCACACACATGCTGTAGTGTAGTGTAGTGTGGTTGTGTGTGTGTGTTACAGGGGAGCCCCTAAAGGAGTGGGTGTACATCACCTCAGTGCCGGTGAATCAGCAGCACTGATAGGAAACTAGTGGAGCACAGAGGGGATTTCCTTATACATGCATCATACTTTCAATAAAACGGATATTCACCTCAAATGTACAGAAGAGACATAAAACCTTTATTCCGTCATCGTTACAAACTGAGCTGGCGAAGATGGGGCAGCACATCTGATGAGACAGTCAGCTCTGACATCAGGCCAGCAAATATGTTGCAGCAATGTTGCAGCAATGTTGCTATCAGTCCTATCCTAGTCCATAAGTCCTAGTGTGGTTCAGGAAAGTAGCTCCAGTTTCATGCAAGTAAACAGGCTGAATAAAATAAGACATGGGTTGCATCATAGATCTACATATACAAATAATGAAATCCCATAATAATACGAAATATATGTTTGTGTACATATTTTTTAAAGTACAGAAACATCAAGTTGTCATTTTTCTGAGGAATAATGTGGCCTCAAAGACAAAACCAAGCTGGACTGTCGGGATATTAGTCCTAGGTTTGACACTGACTCTTAAACCCACCCTGTGTATATGGTATAGTACAAATAATGCATTTCCCTTGGTGTTTTTTATCTTGCATATTGCAGATGTCATTATATGTCACTAACCTGCAGACTTCTCATTCAATTTTTAGACACATTTCTGTACAGCTCATTCATTTAAGTATCTGGTCATTTTATACATATTCTATTTGGTATCTTTTTATCTTTATTTATATTTTTCTAGCTTGATGTTGATTCCTATGCACCAAGGCAAATTCTTCGTATGTGAAAACTTACTTGGCAATAAACCTGATTCTGATTTGTGCTTAATTCCTGGCCTAGACAGAGCTTTGGTAAACTAGACTTTTTGTTGTCTGAAAACAGCAGATCTGACCACAAATACTGACACATGCATGCATTTGGTGGCACAGTATAGCTGAGTGCTTTTACTACTGTGGGACTGAGAAACTCAATGTTGATGCAGAAAACATGGGGATCTAGAGTCTGAGCTTTATAGCACTGTATACCTTATAGCACTGTATACATTAAATAAATAAGACATTGCCTGGTGAGCCACGGCTGGGACTCAAGGACAGCAGCAAATGCACGTATATGTACAGTGCCTTGCGAAAGTATTCGGCCCCCTTGAACTCTCGTTCAACCTTTTGACACATTTTCAGGCTTCAAACATAAAGATATAAATTTTATTTTTGTTGAAGAGATCAGCCAAACAAGTGGGAACACAATTGTGAAGGTGAACGAAATCTATTGGATATTTTAACTTTTTAGCAAATAAAAAACTGAAAAGTGGTGCGTGCAAAATGTATTCGGCCCTTTACTTTCAGTTGCCAGCAAACTCACTCCAGGAAGTCTCACCCGGCGTGGGAGGATCTCTGAATGACTCCGAATGTTGTCCTACAAATGACTCGATGGTGATAAATAGAATCCACCGGTGTTGTATCAAGTCTCTGGTATAAATGCACCTGCTCTTGTGATAGTCTCAGGGTTTTGTGTGAAAGCGCAGAGAGCGATCATGAAGACCAACGGAACACCCCAGGCAGGTCCGTAATACTGTTGTGGGAGAAGTTAAAGCCTGTGATTGGATACAAAAAGATTCCAAGCTAAACATCCCAAGGAGCACTGGCAAGCGATTCATTTGAAAGAAGGATGTATCAGACCACTGCAAATTATCCTAGACTGCTGTCGTCCCTCTAACTTCAGC